AATGGTATTGTGCGACACTCCACAAGCTCATCAGCAACACGACTTACAAATTTTGGAAAAACATAAATTTATAAGATTGTTAGGTGTGCAAAACAATGACATGGAAAACTCAAGAATGTCAAGAATGCAAACAAATAAACGTTCATGTGAAAACAATTCACGGACCCGACGATACAAAAGTTAAGGAATGAAACTAGATAATGCAGGAAGCTTCAAGAGAGAGTAAAATCATTCACAAGAGTAATGCCTCCTTGATGGCATATTTGAATATAAAGTTTTTGCGGCAGTATCAAGATGGTTATCAGACAACTGTTCATGCACCCAAGTTTTTACCATATCGACGATGCGTAGCGAAGATGGCCTGTTGAATCGCCGGGAGAACACCATTTTTGGCACTTGGAAAAAGAGCATTGTAAAATTGGAAGTAAAGCAAGTGATGACGCAATTAATTTGACACGTAATGCTCCATAGATTGGAAGGCAAGCATAAACTCCCATGTTCTCTCTGTTTCTCCACTTGTAAACGGGTAACGAAAAAGAGCAAACCCCTAATACCTTTGAAAGGCCATCTGTAAGCAGCATTCACCTCAGCCCCCGCGAGGTTGGAACAAGAGCCCCTCAGGAACCTACCATGTTAAATTTGAGGCCATTATGGAGGAATAGCATTTTGATTCAAAGCTTGCAACTTACCAATTGAGGGGGAAGACACATGCACCTTGAAAAGCTGGTACCACCTCTTCCTTGAATAATACGAATGATGACTATAGGTAATCGTGGCACCAGGACATAGACTTAGATCTGTTGAATTGATCATACATTTTTATTTTTCAGAACTGTATTAGGAAAGACATCCAAAGCCCGCTTCATTGTTTTCGAATTTCTTTCCCCCCAAACAATAATTCTACTCGCTCAGCCAGTTCTACCTGAGTCAGTTCCAGATGTCGCTTCTGATCTCACCCACTGGACTAGATCGGACTGCATATGCAGCTATCAAAAGCATTATATCATAAAGGAGAGTTCCATGATAAGATTTTTACTGAGAAAACATAATATCTTATCCATGACCTGAAACCCAAGAGAAGAACTTTGCAGAGTTCAACAATATTCTGATTATGGAGCTCTAATTTAATATATGCAACATTTAAAGCTCAATCACCTGAGTATTAAAAAGAAGCCACACATTATTATATATATACGTATAGATTTATAGTAATATATAGTTATATGTATACTATTATAATATTATATTATGATATTAGTGGTTAGGTTCAAGGAGAAACAAAGGAAAAACAAACTTAATTTTACATAGAAAAGAAAGTGAAGAGACAAATTTAAAAAAATAAATAATAAAAAAGAAAAATCTAAAAAAATAATAAAATATAACTCAATCAGAGAAAAAAAAAATTAAAAGGATGACAGCCTAAAAAAAGATGATCACTAGTTTCTTCCCAAAGAAAAGGAATTATTTAAAAAATTTCCATACCTAAGCAATAAGTTATGCAAACTAAGCAAAGTGGAATATATAAACCTCCACAAAAAAGTTGAACCCTTAAACTAGAATGAACAAAATGCGATGGAAAAATCTGAATAAGTGATGAATTATTTTTCACGGTTTTTATTAGGAAGATGCTCACCACAGAACTTGGCTGGGGTAATAGGACCTCTGTAGTGCAGCGGCCGATGAAGATTGTATGCATAGTTTCAGTAGACCCACCAAGCCCTTGCAAATATTTGGTCGGTTCCATTCATTAGAAAGGAGTGTTAACATATTGCAACAGTTGGTAGGCCAGGCCTTTGTTGCCCGTAGTCAACATGGCAATGTAGCACCTCTTGTACAAAAACAGAGGTGCAATCTATCTACACATCAAGTGAAATAACTAAGTGGCCTAAATAAACATGTTTCAACAGTTGGTAGGCCAGGCCTTTGTTGCCCGTAGTCAACATGGCAATGTAGCACCTCTTGTACAAAAACAATAAAAAGCACCATCATAATCTACCCTTTCGGACAAAGAAAGAAAGGCTGGGAAAAAAATAATAAAAATAATAAAAAATAAATAAAGTAAACAAATTAAGCATCATAACCTTGTGGCGTATGTTAATTTCCCTAGAAAATTGGATGGCATGTAGAGAAGAAAACAAAAGAGATCTAACTTAAGTTCTTGTTGTGCTCATTCCACACACAGCAAAATTAGCTAGTTAATTTGCCTCTTCAAATCACCTATAAGAATCTTGTAGAGAGCCCTGTATAGAATCTCTCTCATGGGGTGAGCTGGTGTTGACACACGTCCTTTATGCGAATGTTGTGTAAAACGGCAAAGCATGTGCTTTCTTTGTATATGATAACTGGAAATATTAGTTATGAGGTGTAACGAAGCGCGCGGAAGTAATAAACCTTGAAATCCATTAAGAGTTGCTCTTTGAATCCATTAAAAATTATCTATGAATCTACAAAGAACTTCAAATCCACGATGATAGTTCAATAAGAGGAATTCTATTGATTGAAAGTTATGCCTCCAGGGTTACAAACATCTGCTTAAATAAAACATAAATTAGACTCCTACTGAGACTGGAAATTTAAAAACTATCCTCAAAGACTATAATTGAGGAAATCAATTGGTCAAACCTAGAATCAAATCGAATTTATTTCCTAATCAAAACAGACTCCTAAAATATTATCCAATATAGTAAAAAACTGATAAAGTCTAATATCCAATATAGTAAAAAAAAATTATCCAATATAGTGAAAAACATTATTCAACTAACTGTTAGTCTACTTGACTCAATCTTAGAAAAATATGTGATTTTCATATATTATTCAGCTAATTCTGACATACAGTTTGGTAATTACTACCTATTCTTCATTGCAAATGATCAATGTCCTATGCCAGACCTCCGTTTAGGCTTTCTAAGATCCAGCTTCTCCATGAATGCATTCATAGCGCGTTCTACATTAAAGTAGAGGCTTATTTTGTTAGGTACCAGGAGTTAATCATGTTGTGATGTCCATCCTTCTTGTCACATAAAAAAGTGTGGACCTCACAACTTTATCTCTTAGTAGCTCACTTTGTTAAATAAGCCGCAGCCTCATGATCATCAATCCCATAATACTATTATATAGATGGCCCTCTATACAATATCATAGAAGTAGGATGAAGATAATTACAATTGATCATCACATATAGTTGGTTGGTGTTGTATCTTTTCACAGAGGGCTCTCTATAGAATTTTCTTTTTTCTTACCAACATCAGTCACATGATGAGCCATGTCTCAAAACATCTGCTTCCTCCTTATAGGAAATTCTATAGAGGGCTCTCCATGTGTTTTTCCCCCTCCAATCACATACATCCAATATAAGCATTATAAGCTCTAAGAAAGAAAGTAGGAAATAAAGCTTTTCTTCTCCTTCTCTTCTCCTATACTATTGTCTAGTATCACTTTTCATCTTGGTGGTCTATGATTGATATCCTTATTTCAAAGCATAAAGAGCAAACTCCACAAAGGATGGGAAGGGGAGGAGTAAGCCCATCGTTGTCCCCCACTCCCACTAGCAAGGTATATTCTCAATCTCCGTCGATGTCGATATTAGCCACGTGGACTGTGCTCAGCCGTTTGATGGGCTGATTGGATCTTTCACGGGCGACAAGGACGGCAATTGCATCACTCAGATACACCATCTAGGGCGTTGTCTGGTGGGATACTTGGATGTCACTTTCTTCATGTCCCCCACAAAAACGTTGCCTAAGATTGATGCTTGAATTGGCTACCCTCTCTTGGTATCGCATGAGCAACTTGGGTTCATGTAATTGATGTATAAATGTTTCCATTCAAGGTTAACTAAAGATATGCGCGCGCTCTATAGTATTAGGATGTAGTTATCTTATGCGCCATCTAAATTATTTTCGTCATACTAATTACATTGTTGGGTATTGGAAATGCACATTACTGGAAACATACTAGGCTAATCTACTGGTCTCGTGGACACAAAAAAAAAAACTAATCCTCTTTGAGTCATTACTCTAAATATATTTAATCATCAATATATGTTAACTCTCTTTCCAACATGGGACTAAATCACTCCTCATGTATTTATACTAACCAAACCCACACTTACCGAAATGGGTGGAAGACACTCTCTATATAAGTCCCGATCCTGACTCAGACCATGTCTGAGTCCCCAAAGCAGATGTCTAACTCGAGCAAAGAGATGGATAATGAAGATAGATTCTCAACTATTTAATTTGCGGACAAGCAAAGATGCATCTTCAGTAAATTTCAAGGTGTGTGATCCAGGAGATCAATTGAAAATACCAACAAAGGTTCTAATACTAATAGAAATATCGTCATCCTAGACGACACATCCTAGAAAAATTGTTGGTCTCGGGTGTGGAGACCCAAACCTGAAATCAAACAAATGAATAAAACAGGAAAAACGTTGGTCGGTCGACCAACGGACCTAGTCCGGTCGACCGCGATGCCTGCAGGAAAACAAGCAGAAATCAAAGCTCTGGTCGGTCGACTGAGGGCCTTGATCCGATCGACCGAAAACATGCACCAAAACCCTGCATAAATTGACATTCTGGCCAGTTGACCGAAGCACATGGCCCGATCGACCGGAAACGGGATTTTCAGTTTCCTAAAATGTTTGAGAAACTATTTTGGGCTGGGATCCTATATATACCTAAACGATTTTAGGGTTATGAAAAAACGAGAAAAAGAGGGTTTTGAGAGGATTATTTCAGAGAGATCTTAGAGAGATAAAAACCTATTTGTAAGCATTGTAATCTTCTTCAATTAATCAAAGAATTGTGTGGTGTGGCTCCCATGGACGTAGGCACGTTTGCTGAACCTCA